TGTAGACACTGTTATTTACATTGGCTGTTGGCTATCTTGTCAATTTCACAGCTGCTGCCCGGAGGCTCCCAACTCAGAAGCTGAGAAGCCTGGGCAGCTGGCCCCCGCTCCCAGCCGGGAGCCGAGAATCCAGGTGGGCTACTGCCAGGGAGCTGTGCTGAGCTAAGAGCTCTGGCTCTCAACCTGCCCCCCTTCCCCTTCCACACACACTTCAATCGGTGGAAGCACTCCTAGTGAGGACGTGCATCACCAACAGAAGGAGGACAGTGTGGTCCACCACAGTAATTACTGCAGTGGCTATAAGTCGACCTAACATAGGTTGACTTAAATCTGTAGTGCAGACATGCCCTGACAGAGGGGTATTGTAGTTGAGTCCCATCCACATTCACACATGTGAGAGAAAATTACCGGAATCCCTTCCCCCTCTCCCTCCCAACCACATATGCACTTGCAACAGCCAGTGGCTGGGGGAGGTGTACAATCACAAAGCTCAGCACCCTCCCTCTCCTCACACAAGGGCATGACTAGAGTACCAGAGCTCCCCTCCTTCACTTCAACCACGGAAGAGAAAGAGCAGACAGTACTTCAGATTTATCAGACACCCACTAACCAAAGACTGATATAAAAGATCAGCAGGATCCACGTTATTAACTAGTTATGCACCCTAACTATGGCATTATGAAAAACTGTATATACTGTATGCGAAGAGTCACAGTTTATTTTAAATTTAGTAACACTTACTAATCAATATTTTAGAGAGAACATAGATATATTTAATGTTTTTAAAGTCTGAAGCAGGAAATATGTTATGCACTGGCTGAAAATTCTAGCCTTTCACCTGTGAAGATCTGGGTTTAAAATACATACTATTTCACACATGCAAATGACTTTCAGAGTCTCAGGTTAGTATTCCCAGGTGGCTATTGGTCAAATCACACAAACATTGACTCAGTTTAGCAATTTATCATGACTAACAGGTAAAGTTCACAACTAGGATAGAAGTTTGTTACAGTTCAGGCATGGTGTAGAACAGGGGTCTGCAACCTCTGGCACGCGGCTCACCAGGGTAAGCACCTTGGCGGGCCGGGCCAGTTTGTTTACCTGCCGCATCTGCAGGTTTGGCCGATCACGGCTCCCACTGGCTGCAGTTCACCACTCTAGGCCAATGGGGGCAGTGGGAAGTAGCGCGGGCCGAGGGATGTGCTGGTCGCGGCTTCCCACCGCCCCCATTAGCCTGGAGTGGCGAACTGTGGCCAGTGGGAGCTGCAATCGGCCGAACCTGCAGACGCGGCAGGTAAACAAACTGGCTTGGCCCGCCAGGGTAAGCACCCTGGCAAGCTGCGTGCCAGAGGTTGCCGACCCCTGGTGTAGAATGAGAAGGCCATATCACGTGCTCTACATGTGCCTCCTATGGACTTTGATACAGGAAAATATCTCTGAAAATTGTATGAAATCAAGAAAACTGATAGAACTGTATTTTGCAGGCTCAGAAGAAGAAATATGGTCTACATCACACCTTCAAATGTGCATTGGGCTGACAGAAGAGACATCTATTTGGCACAGGCATCAAACTGAAGACTACCCAGCAAAGTCAGAAAAACAGGTAAGCTGGAATGTTTGAAGCAAACTGCAATCCAAGAAAACATACTTTGATCCAAAGGAAGCTATTAATAGGCAATCACATGACACAGTAATGACAATAAAAGATTGCACATTTATGGATAGGGAAGCTATGTTCCAAGACTGAATACTAATGATGTCAAGAAAACAAGAAAAGCTATTACACTAAAAAGAGAGCCACTTATCTATATAGTAATTGGAGTTCTTCGAGATGTGTGGTCCATATCTATATTCCACTATGGGGTACACATGTGCTCCATGCACCTGAAACTGAAATTTTTTTGCTAGTGTCCATTGGTCCACACCTGCACTCTTCCTCTCTTCAAGCTCCAAACTGAGGACATAAGGGGAAGTGTGGACCAAGTGCCGCTCCAGTTCCTTCTCTACTGCAAATCATGAGTAAAGGATCTGAAGCAGAGAAGGGCAGGTAGTGGAACAGAGACAGGGACTACACAAAGAACTTCAGTTACTATATAGATAAGTAACCAGGCACTGTAGATGACTGACAAGAAGTACTTATTAATGAGGAGGATATGAGGATCTTTGCAGTACTGATGACTGATGACTGAAGGACCACCAAATCAAAGGGATGCGTCAACTGCAGAGGCTTGCACTAGGGCAGTGGTGAGCAACCTGTGGCCTGTCAGGGTAATCCGCTGGCGGGCTGCCAGTTTGTTTACATTTGCACAGTCGCAGTTCGCCATTCCCGGCCAACGGGAGCTGCGGGAAGCAGCGGCCAGTACCTCCCTGCGGCCCACACCGCGTCAGGGACGGTACTTGGTCCTGCTGTGAAGGCAGAGGACTGGACTCGATGACCTTTCAAGGTCCCTTCCAGTTCTACATTACTATGATTCCCGCAGCTCCCATTGGCTGGGAATGGCGAATCGCAGCCACTGGGAGCTGCATGCGGCCGTGCAAATGTAAACAAAATGTCTGGCGGCCCGCCAGTGGATTACCCTGATTACACCAATGCACTAGAGCACAATGTCTGGCCACCCGCCAGCGGATTACCCTGATTACACCACTGCACTGGGGCATAATGTCTTGTGAAAGTATGGCCAGATGTCCATAGTGCTACTTAATAGATGTCAATGACTGGCACTTCATGAAGTGAGACTACCGAAGTTGCCTTGGCTCTGGTGACTCAGAATGACTATTTGCATCCTGAAGTGTTAAGCAAATCAACTAATAAACTAACCAAATCATTCATCAGAGAAGAGTTATCTGTTGAGCAGATTCTTTAGCAAGTCATGGAGATATGGAGAGTTATAAGAAGGTTGGAAAAAATATGTAAAAAAAAAAGGGAAGAGTAATCCTGACAATGACCAAAGTCTATCTTCAGTCTCTAGCATAATAACAATAATAGAAAATGTGTAAACATCAAAAGTATAATGAAGCCATGGGCAATAACCAGATGTAAATAATACATCTTGCAAGAAAAACTGGATTTTTAAAAAGAAATACAAAATTATGACATCAAGGAAATGCAGTAGATGTAATATATTGGTATTTTGGTAAAACATCTAATACATTACATTAAAAAAATCTCTTACAAAATGGATTAGAACTAGTTTGGATATGAGCACTGTCCTGTGGACTGAAAACTGATTGATGGACTACAAAGAGTAAATATATATGGTAAAATACATATTCATGCCGAGTGGAAGATCCAAGAGAGGGGATTCAGACTCCAGTCAAGTTCTATTGCACATCCATCATCTTGGTATCGGAGTATCAATGTAATAATGGAATTATCCTCCTACCTTCCTAAGCACACACTTGGCATCCTATCAGGAAGGGCTGTGGTATGCTCCCTTGTTGAAAAGGGCTGCTGGGCCACCCAGAAAGTTGACAGATCCCTAGACAACTGGCATCACCTCCCCGTTTTCCCCTCAGGCTCTCTGGGTGCTCAGAAGAAAAGATAAAGAAATCTGAGGAAATTTTCCACAAAACCAGGGGGATGACAATGCGCACCACTGTCCCACCCCCCAGCTTACCTACAGTTTCTCCTGGTCCACCTTGTTATAAGCACCTTCCCCTGAGAGGACCACAGACCACATGGAGAGGCCTCCAGAAAATGGTGGGGGAGCATAGTGAAGTGGAGGCAGTGAAGTCCCCTGCAATGGGGAATGGGAAATTTTTGCACTGAGCTATGGAACATAATCTGGGCCATTATTATCATTAAGCCAAATCCTTAAATCTTTACCCAGTTTTCTCTCTGTCTTTACTCTGGCAAAACTCCCACTGATTTTAGCTGACGTTTTGCCTAATTAATAGAATTTCCACTTTTCCATTGTATCTCAATACAAGGGCTAAGCCCTTAGCAGCAATAACAGAAAAGTGGTGTGGAATCAAGGTTGTCAGTGAAGAACTGGAACAATAGGAACACTTGCAGACTAACCTTGCTAGTATAAGATACTCATGGGGAACTATACCAGTACAATAGGGAAGGAAACATCTAAGAACAGCACCACTGGAAAATGTCTCTCTTTTACAGTCAGATATAAAAGAAATGCGAGTCAGGATGAAGCAGAAAGATGGAAAGAAAACATCAGCTGCCGCAACAGAACCAACTGGGAGCCAGAGTGAGCAGCACAAACTGAACGTACCTGCATAAGAACTACAGAATCCAAGACAATGCCAAAAGAAAGAGAAGTGGTTATCTATTACACTAGTTGCATTTTTGTTTCCAAGTCTATGTATAAGAAATATCTATGACACTGCTAAAAAATTTCAAGCCAGCACAAACATTTTATATGTATACACTGTACAAAATATATAGCCCAGTGGTTCTCAAACTTCTGTATTGGTGACCCCTTTCACACAGTAAGCTTCTGAGTGCGACCTGCCCTTCTAAATTAAACACATTTTTTATAATTAATATTATTATAAATGCTGGAGGTGAAGCGGGGTTTCAGGGGGAGGCTAACAGCTCATGACCCCCTGAAATAACCTCACGATCCCCAGTTTGAGAACCCCTGATATAGCTGAAAACTTCAAATGAAGGGCTAGAAAGACTTTGTGGTCAAGTAAATGACTGTATCACAAGCTGACTGAAATGCAAAATGATCATTCAGGAGGGAAAAAGCTCAATATTAAATATTTCTTGTTAGGTGAAATGTTGATGATGCTGTGGTATGGTTAAAACAAAGACAGTGCTGTAATACAATCACAACATCAAAAGTGAGACCACGTTGCTTTAAGAGAGAAATAGGAAGTTGTAACCTGAAGCTTACTGAATGCTGGGCTGGGCAGTACATGTGAGGCAGCAAATAAAGTAAATCTATTTGCTGTAAACTCCACAGAGCATCCAGACTGTTTTACCAAAGTTGGTACTCCCCCTGTGGGTGGAGGAGACAAGAGACGAGTGACGTCATACAGGAGCAGGGATAAAGTGCTGTTTATGCAGCTGTGGGATGAGAAAAAACTTCTTAGGCGTATCAAGGATCTGCTGCCCTGTCCAGCAAAGACACTGCTGACAGGATCTTTATTCCTACAGCTCAGCCTTCAGCTCCCTTTACCGAGCTAGGGAAAAAAGAAAAATAATCCAGTAATAGTAGCTATCAGAAAATTGGTGTACAATGCCACAGAACGTCGTTCTCCCAGGACCTGCTCCTTGGGGATTCAGGCTGACAGGAGGGATAGATTTTAACCAGCCTTTGATCATAACCAGGGTATGTGTTCTTTTCCATTTCCCTTTTATTATTTTTAACTTTGTTTTAGTTTTTGCTCTTTGACTTTTCTTGAGTGAAGCAATAAACGAGTGAACTAGCTGCAAGTTGCATTTATTACTGTTGTTCAAATTTAGAGTTGCTGAAAGTTGACAATTTTGAAATGATTTGTGTGTGTGTGAATTTTAAAGAGACTGCTTTATCAGGCAAAAAGGGCTTCATTCGACTCCTGCTCACACCTCCAAAATGAAATTCCAGTGTCGAGGGGACACTGGCAAGGGAAGAGGACAGTGTGATTTCCCAAAGCACCGAGATTTTCACTTTCCAGTTTCAGACCCCCAGGGAGCCAGAGACTAGCCTAAGATACTGACCATATTGCAGCTCTCATCAGTTCCAGTAACTGGCCCATGTGATCCTTGGGAGAGAGGGGGACTTTGCAGCTGTTCCTTGTGGCTGGATGTTTGTACACTAATCTTCATGTCAGCTTGAGTTAAGAAGAGTTTGTAATACAAATCTTTATCTAATTCAAGATCTGTGTATTGTAAGCAAAGGTAGTGGGGCCATGCTCCTACAAATGTACAGTTCTGTGTTTTCATTTATTTTACATCAGTGATTTATTACAAAGTTATTCTATCATGAACAAGCAAGAAAAAAAATCCTATGCATTAACTAATGGCTTTTAGTGATACTCAATATTAATCTCTTATAGTACTTCACATTTAAAGAGGATTAAGAACACAATCCCTCCTCTTTTTTCTGTATTCTAAGATATTATCCTGAAAACTGGCATTTATTTCAGAGACTGTCATTTAATAACTTCAACATACAAAAATCTATTTTCCATTCTTAAAGCAATAGCAAAACATATTTTCTGTCCATTAGGTAAACTTAGTTTAAGTATATATTGCTGAATAGGGCTTTACGAGACATACATCAAATACCAGAATCAGCATTCTTTATTTTCTGCTGGTTTACAGTACTTGCACATACTGAAAGCATATTTCATTATTCTCTTCCACCTCACTAACATAGTTTTGGAAGTACTGCACTGAGACTCAGAATTTAGACAATATATTAGTGCAGTATTACATAAGTGTCAGAACTTGAAGAATAAATACATCTGATGATGCCATGCAGTAAACGTATGTCAAACAGGAGTTTGTAGAAATGGTAAGCACCAAAATTCTACTGTAATTTACCCTAGTATAAATCTGAAGTAACTCCATGTAAGTCGATAGAGTTACTCCACATTTATACCAGCATAACTGAGATCCACTTTTGATCTTAAAATATAATGCTCTTAATTTGCTTGATGTTATATAAATGTATATGATAAATGTTTGTTATACGTGACATGAAAACTTTGGAGAAAAAAAAACATGTTGCGTAAAAAGAGTGAAAAATGTCTAGATGTATTTGGGACTTTCATTGCCTTTTATGGACTTACAAGGGGAAAACAGTTTCCATTATCTCTAATGAAAAATATTTTAGCAGTGTCTGGTTTATATTTCCCCTTTGTTTAGATTAAGTGCAATGAGGTTTAAAATTATACTAACAAAAGATAAATTACATTTATTGTAACTTTCTGAGGAATAAATAATTTTGCCATTGACTCATCATCATACCTACAGAGTGCGTTGAGACAAAAAAGCTGCTGGTTTGTAGTAAGATGTCAATGCTCATTAATCATGTGTTTCAAGTTGCAGAACCGTTGATATTATAAAACACATATAGGAAAAAGGAAATGTTTA